CCCCAAAACCCCAAAACCCCATGAGGATGTATAGCTTCTAATCTGGAAAATAAATAATAAGAAAGAGTGATAATTTGAATTAATAATTTGATAAGCTAGAAAGCTTATATTCATTTTTAATAATTTAGATGAACAAAGAAAGCAAGTCCTCATTGAGACAGGACTCTATACCTAGAGCCCACAGGCTGTCATTGATAGCTTGGGCTATGATTTACAATTCAATAGTGACACCGTTCATCTACTTGATTATGATTATGACTGATTTCACACTGCAATTGATGATGATTTTATGCATATACTCGCATTTCGATTCAATAAGCTTTAATCTCAGTGGACTTGAGGGACTGCTCGAGCTCCACGATTACAGCCCAGCTAATTTTATTCAGGAGATTATTGCTTTTGGTTTCTGCCTGATTATCATTGCCACGATCTTGATATTGATCTTTAAGCAAAGCAAGTAAATGCTTAACAATCACTAGGAGAAGTCTCTGTTCTTTAAAGTGATTTCCTTCATAATGGCGCTTTTGAGATCATTTATGCTGACATATTTTATGCTTATCCTAGCTTGTAATTTCATTTAGTATGACCAAGATTCCACTGCTATACGGTTTATACAGATATTTCTTATTTGCTCTACTACGGTCTTGCTTTTGGTGATAATATATTTCTCATCGCAGCTGTTTATACTATCGGTTCCTAATTCGTATTTACCGTGGAGTGAGACTTCTTCTCAGCCATTTATTTTGGAATGCATTTTCAAATAATTACTTGCTCTTGGTTTTAATTTTAAAAATGTAGTATCTCTTAAGTATACATTCTTGAGTCTTTGTTCTCTTACAATGGCTTATAGAATAGCTTATAGAATAAGGAGTTCATTTATGTTCAACAAACTAATCTTCAATACAACAATGCTAATAGATACGATTCTATTTCACTTGGTTCTAATGATACTGCCCTCCGAACTATTCAACGATGACGAATATTACATCTTTATTTTGATTACTTTACCAATATGGATACTGTTTGTTTGGTATTTATAAAGGTAGCATTAAACCTAATGGGTGATAGACAATATCGACAACTTCAAGCAAACGGATTAAGAGATAATGGTAAATTACCTGCTGCTACTAGATTACTTTATAACTTACAATCAGTACACACAGACATATTTAGGTCAAATCTAATATCTTCACTATATTAACTGTAAACATTTCAACAGAGGCATTGAAAGGAAAATAATTAAAAAGAAGTAAAAATTCTTAAAGCAATAGCAGAATAATATGTCTAAAAAAGATAACCTCAACTAACTCTAGGATGAAACCTATCATGAGTCACAGTTCTTGCTTAGAAGTAGTACTACCACTTATGTTCTAAATGCTGGCTAATTGGAAGAAATCAAAGAAGAAGATGATGGCAAGTTTGAAGATGATAATGGGACATTTACCAAAAGCAAGAAATTTGATGATCTAGTAAGAGGTGAAATGAAAAAAGATAATAGATAGATCTTTAGAAGATAAACAACTAGATTAATGAAAAAGAAGAGTTAGAAATCTACAAAAATTACAACGTTTGATTTAAAAGGTGCAAGCTCTGCAATTCCAGACAATAAAGAATCTAATAGTCATCAGTTTTCACAGCTAGGTGGATTGATGTAGAAGCATAAAGGAGTCGGTCGTGATGCTTAAATTGAAAACTCAACGATTACAATGAAGAAAAAAGATAAGTAAAAGAACAAAGATGAATTCAATTTAGAGGCGGATGACTAACGAGAAAGAGACAAGGAGATTAAAAGAATGATCAAGCATTTCTTTAAGCATCATCTAGTCTCTGAGAAGACTTAAGATTTCAGAGTGCATCTGCTTAAAATATATTTCACTATCAAGATTTTAAGGAATTAGTACCTAGCTCATTTTCTAATGTTTGAATTTATACAAAAATCATCAAAAAACAGTATTATGGTAAAAAATTAAAAGCTTCTTCATCAAAAATTGTTTGAGGATATGATTGTTAACAAGAATAACACTGAACAGCTAATAAAAATTGATCTAGAAAATATGTTAGACTTAAATCAATTGTTTGCTCAATTTGAATTTATCTTGGAATCACTTGCAGAAAATATCTTGAAGTTCTGGCTTAATTTATCTAATGAAAAAGATGCAATGATGATATATGACAAGGGAGTATAGATATCAGCAGATTTAAACTAGCTATAAAGAGTTCATGCTGAAATAGAATCCAAACAAGGAGAAAAAAAAGAAATAAAGATCAATATTTTGATGTCAGCATTTTACAAGTACGTGGTATTTAAAAATAATGAGTATATACAAGAGATGCAAAAATCTTAGCAAGTTGTTCAAATGAGAAAAATAGCAAATGAAAAATTTGACATAGCTGGTAGAGAAAAAGGATTAATACTTTCAAAGATAGATTTGAAAAAACCAATGGAAATAAAATTTATTAACAAAACAGGCTGCAGTTTGATCTAAGTAGATAGGAATAAAGCTATTGGACTAAAAATAAACCAATTCATGCCTTAAATTATCTAAGAGAACCATAGTAAGTTTATAGACAAATTTATGAACACAGGAAGGACTAATTTACTAAATAAAAGCAGGAATCTTTTCATTAGGAGAAAAAATGGTTATGTCATTCCAGTAAATATTTATCTGTGCATCAATCAAATTGATTTGAATAGTATGATCTTACTGCTGGACAATTCATCAGATTATTTCAAGCCTTTTCCCGAAATTGAGGAACCATAATAGTATGGGTTGATTCTAGCTGATGAAAATTTGAGAGTGTTAGAGTTAACAAAATAAACATACTAAGTTTGTAGGTTATCAAACGAAATTATCGAACTCTACAAGAACACTTATAATAAGACACCAACTATCGATGATTTGTTTAGAAGTGAGATGGGATCTGCAGATATTTTTACTAACCTAAATAATGATGTTAATGACATTGAAGTTTCAATAAGATATAATGATTTACTAGACTTAAGATATGAAATAAATGAAGAAAAACATGAGGAAATGAAAGTAAATACTAGTGATAAAATTTAATCGCAAGACTAAAAATCCTAAAAGTTTAACAATTTAAATTAGATTTCCTTCAAGAAATATCCAAAATAAAATTACAATAACACTAACTTCCAAATGAATACAATGGATAAATCCTAGCTTTTACAAATGATGAGTGCTGCTACCTATCAACTTAGAGTTGAAAGTGAGACTTTTTTGAATGGAGCGCTTGCCATGAAAATCATCCATATTAGATTATTGAATTTACCTGTCCAAAGTTTCATGAACTATGGAATTGGCATGACTACTATAGCTCAATAATCTTTTAAGTAATTAGACGACTAAAAATCAGGCAAAAGCGGAGCAGTATCAGATAATCCTAATGATATAGACATTAAGAATGAAATGACTTAATCACTTACTGGTCTTAATATGGAAATTCCAGAAGATTTTCTTGATCTAACCAGTTAAACATCCACAACTTCATCAATTACTAATGTCTTGAGTAAATTTGACATTACATCAAGTTAAATTGATGGCAAAAGGATACCATCTACTTTGAAATTTGTTCTTTAGATCGTGCTTATTATACTTATGCTAGTTGTTTCTACAAGCACAGTAAGTTTAGTCCTTATTCAAAGTAACTTTCATGATGCCAAACTTGGTATTGAAATGAGCAACTTGAGTATTGCTAGGCTAAATGCAATTACACAAACCCGACTTTTAATGAGAGTTCTCATTAATATTCAGTACAATTACAATGATGCTAATAATACAGTGCTAGCAGACAGATATGCTTTTTACACTGATTTGATTGAAGATTAAATAGAGTAGTTGAGAAGTTTCTAGGTATAATTAGATTAAAAAGACTAAGAAGTTGCTAATAAGGTTGGTGATGTTAAACTCGAATTTCTGACCTCCTCAGCATCTTTTGATAGCCAATATCGATCTATATCCTAAGCGGTAACTATCTATATTAGTTACATCAGTGATTTGATATAAACTGTTAGGTAAAATGGGAGGACAGCACTGTATAGCAAGCTGGTATATTTTTACATCCCAATAGAAGATATTAGGACAGCATCCATTACAGAGAGAAAAATGTATTTTGTAATCTAAAATGCCAATCAAGATTTGTATTACTAGTTAAACAGATTTGCAGAAGTTTATATTGCATTAAAATCTGATAGAATTGGTTAGAAAGTTGACTTTTCATCTACGATGACATGGATATGTATTGGGATCATATTCGCTTCAGGGATCCTAATAATACCCCTTTTTAGTAAAATTTAGAACAGAGTATTCTATCTGATGACAATATTCTTCTATATAGATAAAGCTCTCAAATAATAATTTACTAACAAAATTATGACTTTTCAAAAGTTTATCTCATCTTAAGAGAAATTCAAGAAAAAAGTAATGAGTGGTGAACTAAACATGACTTAAGGATTTTAATAAGATTCAAATTAAAAGATTTAAGGTAAAAATTTATCACTCTTAGGAGGAGGATTTTAAATGCCAACAATTCCAGAATAACCTAGTTAAGAAGAAGAAAAAATTGAAGAAAACAAACAAAATAGAAAAATTGTGCATAAGCTCTCTAAGAAATAGTTCAATTAAAGAAAAAAATCTGTTGAAATAAAGGAAGAGGACTCATAATCCCAAGAAGGTGAAGAAAATATAAAAGTCTAAGATTAGGATGAAGGTGATTAGGATCAAGATGAAAGACATTAGCATAATAAAAGAAAGAAAAGAATGATTCAGACAACAGCAGATCTAGAGAGATAATTGACATCAACAGATGAATTTTAAAAACACTTTAAAAGAGCAATATCTAAGCGAAAACTAACTTAATCATTTTTAATAGTAATCTTGATATGCACTTTCTAGTCATATTTCCTTGGAACTTATTTCATGAGCTCTAATAGCTTCACAGAGATGTCAAAAAGTGTTGAGGTAATATTCATTTTGTTCTAGAGGAAAGCTTGTGGAGAATCAGTTATTCATTCTATAACTGAGGGTTATCAGTGGAACGATACTTATTGGATTAATAGAGGAAAAGATGAGATTATGGATTATTACACTAAAACATGTTTCAAACTGGAAAGAGATTTTCAAGTAAAAGTTAGAAAAGACAGACCATCATTTTTGCAAGAAGCAGTCACTTTGATAGATTTGTTAGAGGAGGGGAATTTCTGTGAATAGATGTTTCACGATGGAGATGGTTTTAGGACTCTGACAGTAACTACTTAAAAATGTAAGGAATTTGCAGGCGGTATAACCTTTAATGGAATGACAAATATTTACTAAACAATCTACAAAGTTTGCTAATAGTTATAAATTGAATACCAAAATGCATTTGATACTGGAGGAGATAGGGGTCCAGATTTTATCTACCCAAGAATGAGAAAAGCTGGAATCTACTTAGATGTTCTTGAAACTATTGTATCAAAGCCTCAGTAAAAAATAAATGACTTAGTTCTATAAAGTCTCTATGATTATTTTGATAAATCTGAGATGTATTTTATCATACTATTTTCAGGGTTCATATTAATTACTTTTTTCGCTGCTCTAATTTTCTTTTGCAGTAAGTATACATTAGATTTATTCTTATAGGAATATTTGTGAAATTAAAAAGAGAGATGCTTTTGTCAAACAAGATGATATATTTGATAGATTTTGAAAGTATTTCAGAACCTCACAGGCAAAAAATTAGTTAATTTTTAACGAGATATTGAGAATCTTATTATTTTACAAATTAAAATATTTATCAATTTTTACTAAAATACTTACCTTTTGGGGTTTTGGGGTTTTGGGG